TCAAGCTGTTATTGTTTGATAACTGCTGTCCGACTTTTGCCCATAACTCAGCATTCTTGTGATAGCTTTCGTATCGCGTACTGCGGCGTTAAACAGCAGTTATCAAACAATAACAGCTTGAAACTTGTAAAAAGCCTTCAGCCTTGCGGTTCACTGCCGATATCGGCTAACCGGCTCATCACGTTGAACGTGTGAGTGCTGTAAGGCATGGCACAAATAGCCATTGAGCTGAGAGGTCAAAAGTGGCCCCGGTAGCGTAAGTGGTAACGCAACTGCCCGGTAAGCAGAAGATGCGGGTTCGAATCCCGCCCGTGGTCCGACTTTTGCCCACAACTCAGCATTCTTGTGATAGCCATTCTCAGCCTTTTTTGTTGCAAGCGTATGCGACAAAAAGTGGTAGAAAACGAGTGATACGAAGGATATAATACAGTAATGCACTTGCCCGCTTCAAAAACTGGTGCAGAACGATTTTGCCAAACCGCACCAAAGCAGCCGCACTGCCACGCCCCACCGGTCCGCAATGATGAGGACTGTATGAGTCACATATGCAGCCGTACCTTCGGTAGCGGTTATTGGCAAGATGCCTACAGGAAACTCGTCCAAAATTGATTTCTAACACATTGAGAACGGAGGCTCTTTCTTCGCAGGATTTTGACCGTTTCACTCCGTTCTTTCGCCATTTCCCCACTATATAGCGCCCTACTAGCATTTTAGGCCGAGCACCAAATCATCGTGCCAACTGCCTCTAAGTACCTCCACAGGCGACTCTGCCACCGTCTGCCAAGGGTCATGATGATTGAGAAGTGAGAATCTTTTAAAAACACCATACCCCCCACCCTGGCGTGCCCTGATGATTAGCGCGAGCAGAGCATCTTGTCCATTATGAGTGACAGAGCCCAGGCTCCCAATGTACCGATGTACCCGACCACAGTCGTTAACAACGCCAGCAACTGTTCATGAATGTGGCTTTTCTTTGGATGTGGTATTATCATTGCTCTTGTGGTAATTAACTGAATTCTTGTAATGTTAGATACTAGTTACAAAATTGAAATTTTTAAATCTCAATTCGGTATCTAACGTCCATTAATTGATGTAATTAAATGAAAGGAGGCGGAGGTGGTGCAGTAAGGGTACAGCATCGTTGTGCGAAACCCATAGGGGGGTCGTACTTGGCCGCTGGGGAGGGGGGGTCGTAATCTCAAGGGTCACTCAGAGCCGGGCAATGCTTCGACATTTCAGTTGATAGTGGGAGTGGAGCTATGGAAGTCAAGATGTTAAAAAAAAATGAAAATTATTATGAGTGTACTTTACAGATTTAACTGCTACGTTTAACAGCCCTCTTTTCATGCGAAATCCCCAAAATGGGTTCGTACTTGGCCGCGGGGGACGTGGGGAGTATCGCAAAAGTAGGCTCGCTAGGCATCAAACAGTACAAAAGTGTCATTGCTAAGTTTGATGGAACGGACGGAAAGCTGCAGAAGACCCGGATGTAAGGAGGACTACAAAAAAAATAAAAAATTGGTTAGCAATATAGCAAGAATAGCAAGAATAAATAAATAAATAAATAAATAAATAAATAAATAAATATCAGTTAATAGCATGAACTCGTAAGTACGTAGATGACTAAATAATACGTCTCAAACAGATTCATGCGTCCTTTCCAAACCCTAAACAAACATCTGCTTGCATGGTGAAAGCCTGAAATCAGAATTTACACCTTTCCACCACCTCTGCGTAGGAGCGTAATGCACGGCGCACACTCGGACCAAATCGATCAGTGATAGCCGAGCTCCTCTTTCACTCATTTGAAGGGAAATATGTGTTTTGGAGGCACACTTTTCGAAGGTGTATCCTCACAATGGCACAGAAGGAGTCGATTTTTCGGGTGGGTCAGAGGGTAGCGCGTCTGTGACCCATCTAAAATATCTCCTGAACTAGTGGGTCTTCAGAAAAACTGTAAAGCTTATTGGAAAGAGAAAAGATAGGGCGGTTTCAAGACGATTTTAATCCTGATGAAATTGCGTTCGAAATAAGTAATCCTCGTGTGAAGCATAAAAACCCGCTTGCCATTTACCCCTAGCCGATCCGAAACCCATCCGAAATATTTCACGAACGGGGAAACATTCAGATTGCAACTGGGTAGAAAACGCAACAGTAGGAACATTCCCGTTGCATGCTGCTAACCATTCATCAAAAGCCGCGCCCCTCAAAGAGATATAACCCCCCGAAAAGACCCCAGGACGTTGGCAGGTCCAACAACCGCGCTCCAATGACGTTTTTCCAATGAAAGCGGTCGCAGCCTTGCGATCGATAATAGCCAAGTATAGAACGATTTACTGCCGCCTGGTTATCCTTTTTTTCATTTGGCTCCGCATTTTTTATTTTCATGTTTCGCTTTGTTGTGTCGTGCATGTTTTCATGATTTCCCCGTCACCATTCATTGAATGCACATCTGGGGCCTGACACGCTGACCTTGGGGCTATTTTTTCACCAATTTAGCTTATCAATGATCACCATTAGTCGCTGTTTCGATTGTGTTCCTTGTTACAAGTTGCATGTCATACATGGTTATCGAACGAGTTTTATTTTGAATCCTAAGACAAAATTGTAGGTAATGCGAGGCTGTTGTTCAGCCTCATATTGCATGAGGCTGAAACAGCCTATTATTGCCTGGATTTTAGAGCAGAGTCCGCCTTTCGAAAATCCAGATTCCATTTCAGGAAGCCATTTGTGGTGAACATGCATCTGGTTGTCAGTTAGAGCAGGAGGGGGGGGGGTCGTATCTGGACCCTCTTCGAGGGGGGGGTCGTACTCACACCGCCATTTCGCACATCCCCATGCTGTACCCTGGGTGCAGTGGCAGGTGGCACGCTCACCGCGCGCACGATCTGGGGTCCAATCAAGCATCGGTCCCACCCAGGCCAACCAAGCTGTCTACCCCCCTTCCCCCCATCCCCTCCATCGGGGGATGGTGAGACGGGTAATTAGTGCGACCTATGCGGAAACAAGCTGCGAGTCATTGTATAGGCCATATACATTCACTAAGCCACTGTTATTCGTCAAAAAGAGATTGATAAGCGGGAAGACTATCCTTTCGTCCTTCAGTTGAATGACCGATGGTAAGAGCAAAGAGTTGCATCGGGTCGCTGCAGGTAAGAAGGTAGTAGTTTGTTTTTTTGAGAAACTGCTTTCGGTTTTCGACTTTCATCGTTTTCACATTTCACGTGCGGTACACCGTCCACCACCTCCCGCCACATCGGCAGTTTCTCGGTGAAAGCTTGTGAAAATGAAGATGGGGTAGGTAGTGCCGAAAGAAGAAGAAGTCTTGAGAGACGTCTTTGCAAAATTCTTCCACAGCGGCAAGACATGCCGTGAATGCATGTGGTGACAACGCCCACGCTTACTTTCATCGCCCACAGGGTGCTCTAACTTTGATTTCACTTGGAAGGATGTATATCAGTTGTAATTTCAGGTGAGTATATTCCTGACAATGTTTCGTGATCAGCAGACGAAAGGCAAAAAGCATGTAAAGTTGACGTATCCGTCGATGGACGTGTTTGGTCATCGTGTTTATTTGGCCAACAACATCTTTATGGTGAACGTTAATAATCTGTAAGTGGTCACATCCCTAGTCAACATTTAAAAGAGGCACCCAGTCGCGATATCCTGATAGCTCGAACCCTCCAGGATCTATTAACTCGATCCAATTGATAATTCTCGTTTCTTCGTCTTTTTCAGAGCTTGGAAGAGCCGAAAACAGGTAGAAACTCTGTTACTAAACTCTATAACAAGAATGGACATCTTCCGAAAATTCCGGCAACATCCTCTAAAGAGTGTTCGATGTGAAAAAGACGGCCTATTTTGTGACTGGTTGAGAAATGAATGGCTGCACTGATTTACCTTTATCTTTGCCGCGAATTTGACATGAGGTTCATCGTTCGGGCTCTGCTTGCACTCGAAGTGGGCGCTGCTACCTACAGCTGCGAAAAAAACCTGGAACAAGCTTTAAGAAGGCATTTTCATCTGTTCTAGTCGTGAGCTACCTATTCTTTCATTGAACACCGGTATTAGGGTCAGAAGCTAAGAATATAATGTCATAAAATAGTAATATTAGAGCTGGGTTGCGTAGTGGCAAATGGCGCCTTTTAACACAAGCGCAGTCTGGTGTTCAAGTCCCGGATCGGCTCCCGCCAGGGCACGCCATCTTTGTGATCATCACAACAGGGGGGTCGTATTTGCCCGCGATGGAGGGGGGGGGTCGTAAACGCATGGCCCATGTTGAAGTGGAGAGAGCAGTGATACACGGTACAAGTGAAAAGAAGCTCGAAAGGGACGATGAAAATGACAATAAAGAGAACAAACACTAGTGAACTAACTATTCCTACGCCAAGGAGTCGAAAAAAATTTTCGCTGAAACTTTGTAATAGATGGTATCAGATGTCCTGATCACGAGTATGACATCATGTCTCCACACCTCCATGTTAGGCGCTCTGCTGAGGCTGAAACTGGGAAAACGAATGATTTCTCTAAGGCCAGGCTCAGTCTCGACAAAGCGCTGATGACGTACGTCGACGCTGGCGCCGAGAATGAAATGAATGGAATCATATTTGAAAACAGGATGTCATCGTCGGGGCTTATTATGACATATTTCTTGTCCCGCTGTTGAAAAACCAGGGCATAGTTCGATGACAAGTCATCTGATCCTCTGAACATGATATTACGCATCTTTGCCATGTGGGCTACTCATTCGTCGAAACAGGGCACAGATTCGATGGGATTTTGTCGAGCCCTGTACGACCCCCTCCCTTTTTGGATTCGGTCGACCCCCATTTCACTGTTTGGAACGTACATACTTTCTGAATTAGATATAAACAATTAGATATAAAAAATAGATATAAACAGTCCTACCTAAGTTGAAGTTGATTTATGTGCAAGCGTTTGTAATCAAAAACAGGATGAGTAGCATAAACACAGCATAAATGCGAGTTAAATGAGACTATGACTAAAACGAAAGAACAAAAAGCGGCATAACAGAAAAAAAAACAAAAAAGAAATGCGCTAAAAATGCATTAACCCGAGATGTGGAGTACGGTAGCAGAAATGCGTATGTAATTGCAGCTGTGACCGGAGATTATTCGGCAATTTTAGCCATGGAGCGAGAATTTTCAGCAAAGTAGGGTGTCTTTGAAGGACCATAACTTCCTCAAAAGCGGACCTGTGGGGAAGAGGAGACCGTATTCGTGTAGAGGAAGGTTTGCACTTCCTAAAAGTACTGAAACGTTTATGAAGGTCGCAAAAATCACAGAGAAATCTGCCATAGGGATTCGTTGGGGAGTGATTTCAACTGAACAGGTTTGAATCAATATATTTTTTTGTAACTCAACATTTCACAAATCTGAGGATCCGAGTGTTTAAAGATTTTCTCTTTCTAAAAACCTCTTGAACTGTTTCTGAAGCTCTCGGGATTCATGAGATCTCGCTATGGGGATTTCTTGAGGAACACTCCCAGCTGCGCGAAAACCCGTTTCTGTGTACCGTTATCAGTAAAGACGTGTTCGGAATTAACCAGGAATGCGATGAAAAGTATTTTTTCGGGTGGAGCAGGAGCAAGATATGGTTCGTTTTAGCGCGATCAACGTGACTTTGGATGCGCCCGCGCACTGGGTGTCGCGCAGAGAGTTGAAGGGATGGTGCAATTGTGCGTAATGTCTGTCCACGCGAGCAAATGTGTCTATAGGATTCAGGGAGATCCATGGCGAACCTGTGCACTTGTTTACAGTGTTTTCCCTTGCGATGATGGATGATGGAGCGTGTCTGTGTCGACGCCGCCAGATGTGTGCTCCGCCAATTGCTGTCTCCGATAAAGGAGACCAACTGCTGGAAAACGTCTGGTACGAACGATATGGTAGTCCTGTCGTTTGTTGAAAAAAGAGGTTGGCTCAGCGCCAAGCGTAATCGCGGACACGCCCCATCATCCGCAACGAACCAGAGTATGAGTTGTACTGTTCAGTCATCAACGACTTACGAGATAATGTCGACTTATTATAATAATAATTTCAGTTATTTCGGATTAATTGATGGTTGAAAGTTTTCTACTATTTCTTTTACATATCCGAGTTCTCTACAAAGCGAGTTCCGCTACTCTGGACTCAGCACACTGAGACCTTTGCGCTGCTCGATACTGGCTACCGCCCTCATTACGACCCCCCCCCTCTCCTGGCGGCCAAATACGACCCCCCTATGGGGATTCCTCAACCAATGATGTGCCCTGTCGAAAATACAAGCGCCAAGCTTGGCGTTGACGCGTGCACCAGTGCCACAGGCAATTATGGCGTCAGCCCCCGCGGAGCACGTACCAGGGATTTCCATGCCAAGCTAACGAGGTATTCTTGACTAGGGGACACACTGGAATCCAGTTCCCAAGAACTTTGGCGTTTCGTGCTGTTTCGCGTGGACTGTGCGGCGCGTTGCGCAAAGCGTGTTAAGCCTGGGAGGACGGAGAGTTTATACCCAAGGTATCGTACTGCCATAAAGAGACAAGCGCTGAGGAAAATTTCACCTACGGGGAGAAGTTTCGGTCAAAGTTCAGCCGTAACTTGAAGAAGTGAAGTAGTGATGGGTGACTGGTAGCAAAAGAATTCTATCATCAGAAAGATTGATGGTCCATCTCCCGTTCAGGTGTACAATGCTGAGCTGAAGCGAATGGAAACAGTTCATCAGTACGGTTGTGCAACACTGGAAAAAGGCAGCTCTGCGTCACATCTTACGGTAATCTTGCTACAGTAATCTTGGCCGCGATACCTATAATGCTTGTTCCTGTTCAGTGTAACTCATTTCGCTCACCTCATCGAACACCAAAAGCATGCTTCGGTGTGTTATGAAGGTAATTATTGTAATTTACGGATCGAACCTCCACCTTATCAGCAACTGCCCGCAGAGAAAGGTAAGGTCCTTATTATTGACTGAATAGCATTGCCCTACAAAATACAATTTTTTGTGCAGAGTTCTACGACGACGAGTGGCTTCAACGCAAATCACATCCTGCACTTTATGTCATTGTACCTTTGGTCATTGCGTTGTGCATCATCGCTGGAGTGTGTTTCCTCCAATACTTCCAGAAGCAGTTCAGGAAATGGCTCCCTCTAGGCAAGTGGACATTTTTCGTTTCTTCATAATTTTTTTAGCAGTTGTATTCTTATGATGTTTCCACGCTGCTCATATTCTGATACATGAACATTCAGCTTATCGGCTACTGAGCTGCATCTATCCGTTGTTCCACCGCAGAATCATAAATGAAAAATGGACACGTTCCTACGTTTAGGATCCCCAGCGAGGGGAGGGGGTCGTAGTTGGTTGGTGTAGGGAGGAGGTTTGCAAACAGCCTGAGAAACTTCTTATTTTTCCTGTTCTCCCT